GGCTCCCTGCTCGGCGGGGAGTCTGCTTCTCCCTCTGACCCTCCCCCCCTCATGTGCTCTCTCTCTCTCTCTCTCATTCTCGCTCTCTCAAATAAATAAAATCTTTTAAAAAGAGAGAGAGAGAGAGAGAGAGTGACCTATAGTCCTAGATCAGGCAGTATGGCAGGATTCTAAGGGTTTCTTTCTTTCTTTTTTTTAAGATTTTATTTATGTATTTGACAGAGAGAGCGAGCACAAGCAGGGGGAGCGGCAGGCAGAGGGAGAAGCAGGCTCCCCGCTGAGCAAGGAGCTGGATGTGGGGCTCTGTCCCAGGACCCCTGGATCATGACCTGAGCCAAAGGCAGACGCTTAACTGACTGAGCCACCCAGGCATCCCCTAAGGGTTTCTTTTTTTTTTTTTTAAGATTTTATTTATTTATTTGACAGAGAGACACAGCGAGAGCAGGAACACAAGCAGTGGGAGTGGGAGAGGGAGAAGCAGGCTTCCCGCGGAGCAGGGAGCCCGATGTGGGACTAGATCCCAGGACCCTGGGACCATGACCTGAGCCGAAGGCAGACGCCTAACAACTGAGCCACCCAGGCGCCGCCCCCCGCCCCCCGCAAGGGTTTCTAAACTTTGTCTCCCTACATTCGTTCCAGCTATGGGGGGAGGTGGGGGACGGGGAGTATAGAGAAAAAAGCCTAGGTTTGGAATAATGTAGACATGGGTTTGAACCCTCTCTCTCTACTAAGCTATGATAAGCCCCTGGGCAAGTTGCTTCGTGTCTCTGGGCATTCCCCTTCTGTAAATTATGGTTGTTATGAAGACTAAATGTAGAACACTTGGCATATGGTAGGTGTTGAGCAAACATTTACTGAACATCTACCAGATGCCAAGCTAAGTGTAGTGCTTTTCCATGTGGTACCATCTAGCCAGGCCTCACTCTGTCTTCACCCACTCTCCTCCGCTCTTTCTCAGACTGCTGACATGGGGCTAACAGAAAACATCGGGGACAGTGGACTCTGCTTTGAGCTGTGGTTCCGGCGGCGGCGTACTCGAGAAGCGTACACACTGCAGGCAGCCTCGCCAGAGATCAAGCTCAAGTGGACCAGTTCTATTGCCCAGCTGCTGTGGAGACAGGCGGCTCACAACAAGGGTACCAGGCAGAGCCGGGGGAGGGGGGTGGGCTTGAGGTCCAGGTTACTGGAGGAGGTTAGTCGGAGCGTGTGGAGACCATTTGGGAAAACAGGGTGTGGAATGGAGAAGGAATGACTTAGGAGATGATTCCGGATCTGACTGAGAGAGATTGCTGGCATAGAAATTAGTCTAAGGTATACCAAAAGGAAAGGGGAAGCTACCCATTTCAGAAAAGCAAGAGCAAATGGCAGGGCAAAAGAGGGTGAGGGAGTGCTCACTGGACCCGGGTTCCAGAATTTACTTGCTGTGTGACCTGAACTAGTGTTTCTGTGTGTTTTGTTCTGGGATTTTTTGGGGGGATGGGTTTTTGTTTTTAATTCTCTGAACCCCATTCCACTCATCTGAAAAAAGGAAAGTGACAGCTTCGTGTGATAGGGATGATGAAATAAGGTGGTTTTCTATCGAAGCACTTGATAAACTATAAAGGTGTGTAAAAATGAGGGCTTTGCTCTTAATGCCCAAGATAAAGGGCAGAAGGTGAGTATTAGAAGTTAGGTGGCTGGGATACCAAATGGGCAGGATGCAACAGGTAGGAGACAAGAGACAGCTGTCTGAGGAGGTAGTCGAGGCCCACCATCACCATCCAAGTTGTGACAGTTGGCAGCAAGAGTAACAGGAGATACCAGATGAATGAGAAATGGCAAGGAGCAGAAGAGTCCACCATGATAGTGCTTGGAGCAAAGGGGGGGCTGAAGGAGGTTGGTAACAGGGTCTCTGTTCCCTAGAGCTCCGAGTGCAGCAGATGGTCTCCATGGGCATTGGGAATAAACCCTTCCTGGACATCAAAGCCCTTGGGGAGCGGACACTGAGTGCCTTGCTCACTGGAAGAGGTGAGGGCCACAGTGCTGGGGGGGTGGCCCCCAGAAGACAAGACCTTGATAGTGAGGGCATAGTGGGGAGGCATGGTGGAAAAGTGAGGAAGGGTAATGAGTGGACATGTCTTCCCCAAAATTGTGGGACTGACTGGGAGGCCCTCTGCGAGACTGAGGGTCATTTCAGAGAGCCAGGAGGGCTTTCCCACACCAGCACCCCACCCCACCCCGCCCCCCTCTCTGCAGCCGCCCGCACCCGGGCTTCTGTGGCCGTGTCATCCTTTGAGCATGCCGGCCCTTCCCTTCCCGGCCTCTCACCGGGAGCCTGCTCCCTGCCTGCCCGCGTCGAGGAGGAGGCCTGGGATCTGGACGTCAAGCAAATTTCCCTGGGTGAGGCACCTCTCAAGGGGTGGCTCCCAACAGCTGGGTCATCGTGGTGATGTTCAGGCTGCTTGCTGCTAAGCAATTCCTTTTTCTAGCCAAGTAGCCCAGTTGCCATGACAACTATGTACAGCTTCCCCATTGCTAAAAGAGCCATCCGTCTGGTTGCTAGGATAATGCTTACAGCAGCCTGTTGCTAAGAAGCACTTCCTCTGTACCTCTCTCTCTAGCTCTCCTTGGGTTTCTATGGAAACTGCTCAGCTTCCTGTTGTACCCTCCTGGTTCACCACGGCAATCCTTATAGTTTCCTGTCGCTTCTTCCCTGGTTTGCTCTAATGATGCTGCTGACAATTTCCTGCCTCTTGGTAGGGGGCTCTCTTGCAACTGGGTTGCTATGGTGACTCACAGCTTCCTGTTGCTATGGAGCTTTTTCTTCCCTGATGGAACAGCTTGGTTGCTTAAGGTAATCTAGAGAGGTTCTATACCCTGCTCTCACCCTAGCTTCCCCTCCAGCCCCAGAAACACTTGACTCTTCTGGAGATGTGTCCCCAGGACCAAGAAACAGCCCCAGCCTGCAACCCCCCCACCCTGGGAGCAGCACTCCCACTCTGGCCAGTGGAGGGATCTTAGGGCTGTCCCGGCAGGTAAGTCCTTATACTAGGGCTGGCAGTGGGGTGATCTCTTCAGCCACCTTCTGAGTGGGCTATTCTCATCCAACCCATGGGGGCAGGGAGAACCAATGAGCCTGTGCTCCCAGCAAGACCACAGATTGGATATATTGTCCAGTCTGCCTTTCTCCTCTCCCCCTAGAGCTGACTGAGAGGCAGCAAGGTCAGAAGTGAAAAGGAGTCTTTAATAAGGAACACAGTGCAGGAGTGGATGGAAAGGGGGGAATGCCAACAGCATCTGGACTTTGATTAAATCAGCCAAATTGAGGAATTTGGGGGAGGAGGAGAGAGGTGAGTTGGCAGGCTTGGGGGGGGGGCAGATATAGGAACGAGGACATTTTCTTGCCCTTTAAGTTCACTGCAGTTCATCTCCTTGCAGAGTCATGCCCGAGCCCTGAGTGACCCCACCACTCCTCTGTGACCTGGGTGAGTCAGTACCCCCTCTCCACTATATCCAACACTCCTAACTTCTTGCATCAACTGCCTTCCTTCCCCCAGCTGCTTGCAAGTCAGCTTCCTCCCTCTCCCGACCCATCTCCCTCTTCTCTCCTGGCTTCTAGAGAAGATGGAGAACTTGGCTGCAGTCCCTCCTGTCGGCACATTTTGGGCAGGGATGGCAGTGGGACATAGCAGAAGACTGGAAGAGCACTGGATTCCTTCCCTCTGCTTCCTGGACAGAGAGGAGGTCGCAGGACCAGCGTGTTTCCTTTCCCTGCTGCTGTCCCTAGCTCTCTCCAGCCAGGTGCCTTCCTACAGGAACCAAAGTGGCCACACTTGCTTGCCTTCGTACCCTGGAGGTGGAGAAATGATCCCTCATCCAGTCCTTCCCCATCCCGGGCCACTGCATACTCCCAGGACACTGCTCCGTGTCAGCCCTCCGCCAACAGCCTGCGTCCTCCCGTTCGTCCGGTGCCACCCGGACTCTCCCTGAGAAGACTCATCTCTGCCAGGTCAGCTGTAGTTCTGGTGACTCCACTCCGGGGTGTCATAGGAAATGGAGCTATGCAAACCATTTGCAGGGGGGTGGGGAACAGCAAACTTTATACGTGTAATTACTGTTGTTATAATACTATTGTTATATTAAATGTATTTACTCACACTTTGTGTCGGAAGAGCTAGAGCAGACCTCTGGGTTGAGGTGACACTGCTACCTTGAACACTTCCCCTCACCCAACCATTAACTGGAACACAGAAAAAAAAAAAAAACACCAAGGCTTCGAGGTACCCAGTACCCCTTCCTGGCCCCAAACTGAGCCTGGGTGCAAGAGAATGTGCCTCTTCCACAGTGGCTCTTGGAGGCTCAATGCACTCTGTGAAGTTCCTCCTCTCCCGCTGCACCCACCTCTTGAGGCTGAGGTGGTCACCCTCAAGCTGGGATCCAGCACAGTCTAGCAGTTCTCAGAATGACGTCCACAGTGCGTGAGAGTCCCCTAGGCTGCTGGCTAAATGCTAATTCCTGGGCCCCACCCCCAGAGCTACTGAAGCCGAAGTCTGGGGGTAAAGCCCAAGATTTCTTGTTCCTTCTTAAGCTCTTTGGGTGATCACTAAGCGCCTGAAGAAGTATTTCCGACAAAACCTCCAAGGAGGACAGGACATAGGCAGACAGACACAGCGCCCTGTGCCTCAAGACACCTGTTTATTGGGGACACAACTCTGCGACAGGGATGACAGGAATCGTACCAAAAATAGCGACGTCTACAGGGCCCCTGAAGGGGCTAGAAGGGTACAGTGCCCCCCACCCCCACCCATTGTACAAAAATAAACTCTCACGCCTATGGACCAGCAAACACTGGCAGAGCGGCTCCTCAACAGGGACACAACCCTCTGCCAGCCCTGGGACCCCGTTCTTTGATCCTCACCCCTGCCACTTCTAAGGCACTGTGACTCTCCCCTGGGCTGGGTGGGTAGCGCCCGCCCACCCTCCTACGCCCGCCACGCCCTCCACCCCCTCCACCTCTGGTCCGCCTGGGGCTGGGATATGGGTCCCACGCTGCCCCCTGCTGGCTGCTCTACCCAACTACCTCTAGCGCTCCCCCGCTCCCGCGGGGTGAGCTCACTAAGCTAACCGCCCCTAAGAGGGCTCCCTACCGTTCTTGTCCCCCCAGCCCCGCCTCTCCCGATCTCGACAGCCCGGGGCCCTCCTCCCCTTCCTGCGGAGGACTGGGAGGGGTCTCTCCCGATTGTGCAGGGGCGTAGGGCGGGGACGCGTCGGCCTGGGGCGGCCTGCGGCCCCGAGCCCTGCGGCTGTGGTGCACTTGCAGGTGCAAGGCCATGAGCTCCGGGGCTCCAGTGGCGAAGGGGCAGAAGAGGCATCGGTGGAGGGCACCCCCCGGCCCAGCCTCGCCTCCCGGCCCCGCCCGCAGGGACAGGTCCAGGGGTTCGGCCTCACCGCCTCGCCCGTTGCGCAGGGTCCTCCCGGGACTGGCGGGCTTCCGACGGGACCCCGGCGCCGCGCTCGAAGGAGGCCGGGGGTTCGCCGCGCCCTCCACCCAGGTCGCAGGCTGCAGAGCCGGCTTGGCTCCCGACTGCTGTGCCTGCTGTGCCGAACCCCGCTGGGAAGGGGGCGGCGGCTCCGGGGGTGGTCCGGGGCCCGCCCCGCTCCTCTGCTCTCGGTGGTGGCGCTGCAGGTGATACTTGAGCGAGCCGGATTGGGTGCCCGCGTAGTCGCAGTGCGGACACTTGTAGGGGCGCTCGCCTGGAGAAAGGGGTGCGACAGGGTCACAGAGGCACGATCACCGCCCGCCCCCACCCGCATTTCGCTCTCTGTACAAGCGCCTCTGGACCAGAAAAACACACTGCCACCCCCACCCCGTCTCATTTAACAGAGCAGCATTCCCCCAACCATCTCAACTAGCCAATCTGAAGGCTGCGTTTCCGGTAGCTCTCTCATGTCTCTTCCGGCCCTCCAGGTCCCTCCCCACCCCAGAGGCTGCCCCCCTCACCTGTGTGCACTCGCAGGTGCACTTTAAGGTGATGCGCAGAGCGGAAAGATTTTCCACAGAAGGGGCAATCCTTTCCTGTGGCTCCCCGGCCCCCTTCAGGCCGGGTCCCTCCAACCAACAGCCCATTCTCTTCTGCAACACACACGTTAAGGGAAGTCAGAAAGGCCCTTTGCACTAACCCTATCAGGGCCATGCGCACCCACCCCTTAGGATTGCTTCCCCTCAGGGCCCCAGAAGGAAACAGTGTGTTTGAGGGAACCTGAGGGGTTGGATTTGTTGTGAGTTGTGCTGTGCCCTTGAAAAGTGGCCTCCCGGAGTGGGAAAAAAAAAAAATCGAGAATTAAGAGATAGGTCCTTTTTAAAGAGGACGGGACAGGAGGGCACTGGTGGCATCAGATGGGCCCAGGATGTGGAAACCTTTTGGAGGGAAAAGACCCCTTACATACCCTGCGTGGCGGTGGACCTTGCTGGGGTCCCCGCAGCAGGCGCAGAGTGCCCTGGCCCCTCGCCTGGGCGCGGGTGCAGTGAAGCCAGAGGGCCCAACGCCCTGCTGCGGGCCCAGGTCTCCTCCTCCGCCTCCACCACCTCCTCTTCCTCCTCCGGCTCTTCGGCGCGATGCCGGCGAGCCCGGGCCGGGAGAGCAGAGGGCAGTGGGCGGAAGCTTCCGAAGCTGCGGCCAGCCCCAGGCTCGGCGCCCTCACCATTGGGCCGGGCCTCGCCAGCTCGCAGGCTCAGGTAGCCCAGGAGGCTCGGAGGCTCACGGCGCTCGGCGGGAGTGGGCGCCGGGGCCAAGAGGAGCGCGGGGCCCAGCGGCTCATAGGCCAGCAGGCCCAGGTCAGGAGGCTGGGGGGCCCGGGCGGCCCCGGAACCAGGCCCCGGGGCACGCAGCGGACCCAGCTTGCTGGCGTGCACCTTCATGTGGTTCTTAAGGAACCAGGGCTCCTTGAAGCAGCGGCCACACACGGGACACGCATGATCGAAGGAGGCCTTGTGCTTGCGCATGTGGCCCTTCAGAAACCAGGACTGCGTAAAGCTCTGGCCACACACTTGACAGCGGAACTCCGGGGGCGCGGGGGGCTCCTCGGGAGCGGCAGGAGCGGGGGCGGGGGCTGCCTCACGTTCAGGCTCCGGCTCAGACTCTGGGACTGATCTGGGTTCAGGTTGGGGTGGAGGCTGAGGCTGGGGTGCAGCCGAGCTGGCCGCCAGGGGGCGCTCAGGAGCTCCGTGGGCCGTCAGGCTGTGATGCAGCAGCTCCTCCTCCTGGCTGGAGCCAAAACTGCACAGGCCGCACTTCCAGGGCCTGTGCAGGATGTGCAGGTGGCGTTCGCGCTCCGCCGCGGTGCGAAACTTGCCTTTGCAGAAGGGGCAACGGAAGGCGGACGACGAAGGAGCCTGGGACCGCGCCAGGCCCTCAGTAGCAGGGCTGGACTGCATGCCCCCTGAGCTTCGGGCTCTCCCCAGCCGGGCCTCGCGCAGTAGCGCGCGCTCCTCCAACTCCAGCAACAGGCGTGCGGCGGGGCTACGCGGGCGCTCGGGCTGGTGCGTGCGCAGATGCGAGCGTAGCAGGGCACGCTGCGCTGCACGGTGGCCGCAGTGCGGGCACTGGAAGGCCTGGGCGCCTGGGTGCGCCCGCAGATGCAAAGCCAGGATAGAGTTGAAGCGGAAGCGCTTCCCGCATACAGGGCAGGGGAAGCGCCTTTCGCCTGCACGACTCTCGGACCAGCCCACCGCTCCCATCCCTGGAGACCCGGCGCTCACGCCTGGCCCGTTGGAGTAGCGCTGCAGATCCAGTTCGCCGTCGAAGGCGGGCGGCGAGGGCGCTAAGTGGCCGCCCGGGGCGCGGGGACGTGAGCCCTGTGGAGAAAGACCTGAGTAGAGCAAGGGGTGGCGAAGGGACAGCTGTGGGGGAAAGCAAGGGCGTGGAAGGCCAGAAGAACTCGAGGGAGGGTGGGTTGGGGCCTGGATCAGGAACACCGAGTGCCCTTCCCACTCACCTTGGGGGCAGTGGGATATGAATGGGAATTGAGCTGTTGGGGCCACAGACATAACTTCTAAGAGAGGTAGGGAGGGGAAGGAGTATAATTGTAAGTACTTGCTGGTTCAGGCCAGGGCTTCTTCACTCACCTCCATGGACCCCCTTCACATTCTTTGGTTCTGGGGAGTGCAGGGAAGAGAAGGAGGAAAAGCTGCTAGTGAAGGCAACAGGTGCTGAAGAGCTAAAGCAAGAGAGACAGGTTTTGAGGGAAAGATGAGCCCTGGTTTTCAGCAATGGAAAGAGGCACCCCCAACCCCATACTCTTAGCAGCCCCTACTCCGGCAACCTATCCCTTCATTACCCTTCCTTGCACCCTGAGACAGGAGGGGGCTGCCGTCTTCAAAATTTGTACTCCTTGATTTGCCCACCCCACAGGCTCCCTGATAGCCCAGATGCCTTCCCCCAAATTATTCATTTTAAATGCCTAGCCCAAAACCACCACTACCATCACCACCACCAATATCATCATCACCACCACCACCACCACCCCCTGGTGGTAGAAACCATCACAGTATACCCCTCTCTCATTTAAGTTAGGCTGTGCAGCTTAATGAGCAAACAGGGTGGGCCTGCCACGCTCCCCAGTTATCCAAGTGAGACCAGTTGCTCTCAGACCCCTAACTGACCCGCCAGCCAAACATCCTTCCACACTCCACAGTCCTTCCTTCTGCCCTTATCCTGTCTTTCTGTCTCTTCCCCCTCGTTCTCCCTCCCTCCGCCTGGATTCCTGATCCATTCATTTCCATTCATTACAGAGACTCATTCATGCATGGGAGAGAAACACCTCCCAGCAGCAGAGAGTCTGGAGACAGACAGAGGGGGAGGGGCATGAAGGGGGAGAGAGCCAGAGGGAGAGGGAATGAAGAGAGAGTTGGGGGAGGAGTGGAAGTTAAGGGGCGCTCCTGGCCTGGGGAAGGGGTTAAAAACTGCAAATACCAGATAGGATTCATCCCCGTGTTTCAAACCTTGGAGCCTGCAGTTTGATGGGGCATCTCAGCCCCTTTGTCCAGGGCTGTTCCGAGGCAGGCTTTCCTCCTCTCTGCAGGGGAGAGGCTCCCTCACACAAGAGGAGGATTACACTGGCTCTGAGCTCAAGAGGCTGGAGTGAGGGACGGGGGGCGGGGCTGGGCCATCTGCACAGATAGGGGCTCAGCACATGCTCTGAGCAGGAAAGGGTTAAAATTCTCCAGGCTGAAATTCCCTGGGCCTGGGATGTGCAGAGCTCCAGTTCTGAGGAAGGAGAAGAACACTGAGAAGAAGATGGGGTGGGGGGGCTCTCCTGATTCTAAGCTGCAGAGGTGAGCATTAGGACTTAGAAGCAACCCCAGAATTAACATTCATGAAAATAGGCCTGGGGAGCCCGAGGAAAAGTCAGCCAGCCTAGCTTACATATAGAATTGTATCTGGTCGACACTAGATGAATGTGGGCCTAACCTATTTTTTTGCCTGAGATAGAAAGAATATTTGAGATATAAAGAACTTCCTTACAATAGGCATTGTGAAACTGAAATGGGTTACTGAGAAAGAAAAGGACTCAAGCATTACTTTGCTTAAGGATCTTTAACAGAATAGAACTGTGCCAGGAGTCAGCCCTGCTTATCAGGGAAGAGAAAAGGCTCTGGAGGTCCAAGGCTTCTTTAATTTTTGACATTTAATGAATGTGAATGTGGTAAGACTCCATGAAGGGGCAGGTACCTGTTACATGTGAAATCTGGGTTAAGGGAGTTTTATTAACAGGAGGTTGGTTGATTGACAAAGTGTCCTCATCCAAGGGTCACTAAACAACCTCCACCACCACGTTTAATATTTGTATTTCTGTAGCTCCAAATTAGGGCATCCATTGTCATCTTCTGGATCCTCCAAACAAACCCCTTTCCTGAGACCAAGAGCCCAGCTAGACTCCGTGAGTAGTGTCATGAAAGGTGAATTAAAGAGTAGGACTAAGGAGTGCAAGGCTATTGTGGGCCCAGTCTATTAATAGCCCAGCAACCTTCAGTAAATCACTTAACCTCCCAGTTTACTCATCTGTAAAATAAGGAGGTTGGACTAATTTATATTGATGGTCCCTTCCAGCTCGAAAATTTGTGGTTCTGAGTCACAGGACTCTTCTGGACCCCAGAGAGATGTTAAAAACAAATGGTCATCCCTTCAGTACCATGGAGAGTGCAGTGGGCTACCAGAGGAGCCACTTTGGCCACCTCGGTACCATAGAAAGAGCTAGAAGTCCTAGAGGGGCCACATTTGCCATTTTAGCACCACAGATAAAGCACTGAGAAAAGCTGGAGGATTTTTTTAAATTCCTATCTGGGAACCATGGGGGGGAGGGGGAGAACTGTGGTACCAGAGGGATTATTTTGGCCTTTTAGATGTCACTGAAAATAGATAAATGTAATAGAAAATAGATGTAACTAGAAGAATTTTAATTAGCTATAAGGAGTGTCCTGACAGTTACAGTTTGTACATCCTGGAATGAGTTACTGAGGCATCGTATTTGGGTCCATCACATTCTGTTGCTCTCCTGGGGATTCCCGGAACATCCTGGTGTACAGCCAATCTGGTATATTCAGAGGAAGCAGATGGTGGGGGAGGAGGGGGGAGGCTGGGAATACTGCATGGTCATAGCTGACTAACCTATGGGCACATATTCTGATTCTGAGAAGATTCTAGGGCCCCTAAAACTGCCTGTAGGACAGCAAGCAAAATACCTCACGGGAGGCTGACCTCCCATATGAAGCTAGTAGAGTAGGAACAGGGCAAAGCTTCCTCCGCCAAAACAAAACAAAAACAAAAGAACTACTTTGCACATAGCATTTTCCAGGATGGAAAAAAGTGATATACAAGGAGGCTTAAATTGAAGCTGAATTCCCAAGCAGGGAAAGTTTCCCTAGAGGGTAGCCTCAAATCAACAAAACCCACTTAGACACCTTCCCAGGCCCAGTCAAGACCTCCTGAATCATCTCCACACCAAAGGAGGCCCCAGGCACCCGATCCCATGAAGTGTTCTGTTTTGTTTTCAATAGGAGAGAGCACCGGCAGGGTCCAAGATCTATGAACTGGCTCGGACCCCACAGCATGCATGTATTGCCTGTGGGCAATAATCACAGAGTTTTCTAGAGTTAGGCCCTAAACACCATCCACGAGACTTGGCCAGACAGTAGTAATGACCTACTTTCCACTCCCACCGGGAATCGGGGGTTATCTGGTCCTTCTTTGGGTCCTATAGGGATACAGAGCCAGGGATAGGGATCGGAAATCGTTCCAAAGCAACAGGCCAATTATTTTTATGTGCTAGAAAAGCTGGTGGGGAAGGGGATGTGGACCATCAAATCTTACTGCGTTAGGGAGGGCTGGAAGGGTTGGTGAGAAGACTTAGAAACAAGGACAAATACACAGAAGCATCTGCTGCCTGAAGGACCTCAAAGATTGTCCCTCAAACCTGTGGTTCAAAAGTTTTTAGGGTCAAAGTGTAAGGGGCAAGGATTCAGGAGTTCTGAGGTATAGCTGTGGCTAAGCCTCTGTCACTGGTCATTTCTAATACTTGATGTTCTTCCCTCTGTTGAGAATCCCACACCTCCGAAGTCGGCTACCAATTATGATTAACGCTGCACAAGATGAGGTAAGAAAGAAGGGGCTTCTCGGGTGGTCTAGAGTCAAGACCAGTTTTATCACAAGCAAATGCCAGTAGCTCACTTTTATGGTCTCCTCTCCATGGCCCTCTGAACCTCACTGCTCAGGGAGTTCCTCTAAACTGACCCCACATCACAGCATGCCCATCTTTTACACTGAGTTCTTGGTAAAGCCTCCTTGCCTCCATCCTCACTGTCCCGATGTGGGGGCACGGCACCTCAGTCACTGACTCCAAATGTGCAGCAGGAGACAAGAGGAAGGTACACCTGCTGACCTATTGCCACGCCACCATGGTGGATCTTATTCCACAGGCATGTCCCAACTTGACCCCTCTTCTGAAAGTTCTAGAGGACCTTGATTTGGGGGAGGGGGCACGGCACCAGCCTTAAGTCCCCTTAACTGGAGCTGACCCTAGAAAGGTCAGAGTCTTAGCACCCATATGAGCCTCAGTCCTCAGATTAGGGGGTGGGGGGTGGGCAGGAGAGCCTCTGGGAAAATCTCCCTCCCAGAAGTAGGTTGGCAAGTAGGGCAGGACCTGTGATCCTGCACAAGAGATTCTTCCAGCAGCACCCTAGTCCCTTCCCGGGGAAGATAAGCTAGAAGGATGATGGGGGGCAGGGTTGGGAGATTGGGAGGCCAGGGCTCAGCTACCCCGGCCGGGAGAACAAAAGCTGAGTTGCAGCCGCCTCCGCCGCTGCCGCCGGCCGAGCTCTTTGTGACACTTTGTTTGGGACGCAGAGAGGGAAGCACCCCCCATCCTCTCCCCTCCCCCACCCCCGCTCCGGGAGAGTTTGGGTCCCTTCCCCCTCTTCTATCAGCCCTACCTGAGCCGGGGGGCGCTCATCCACTCTGGCTCCCGGCTCGGCCGCCCTGCACCCCCAGGCCCCTCGCGCCCTGCCTTCGGGCCCCTACAAAGACGTCCGCGCCCCCCCCACCCGCTGGCCTTTCCCCTTTGGTGTCCGCTTTCCCGGCTCCCCCACCTGGCCCCCCCTCCCTCGAGGCCCCCCAGCTCTCTCGGCTCCCGAGGCCGCCGCCCCCCCCCCGCCCCCCCCGGGAGCTCTGGGCGAAGTTTGCTTGGGGCCGAGCCGGCGCCCCTCCCCCGCCCCCGCCCCCTGCACCTGCTCCGAGCCGGGCGCGCGGAGCGGGCCCCCCCTCCGGGTGGGGGGGAGGGGGCCGGGGGCGGGGGCCGGGTGGCGGAGGGGGGGGGCCGGGAGTGGGGGGAGCGGCTACTCACGAGCCCCGGGCGGGCGGCGGCGGAGCGGGCGGCGGCGGCGGCGGCGGCGGGCGGCGGGCCGGCGGCGCGGGCGTCAGCGTTACGTGGGGCCGGGGGAGATGCGCCGGGCCCCGGCCCCCCCGCCCCCGGCCCGGCCCCCGCCCCCTCCCCGGTCCCCCGCCCCCGGCCCTGGCCCGCATTGTGTGCGGCGGGAGGCGGCCCGGCCATTAGCATGCGGGGGGCGGCGCGGCGGGGCTGGGAGCCGCGCGGGAGCGGGAGCGGGGCTCTGGCTCCGGGGACAGGGAGCTGGGGACCCCGGGAGCCGCGAGAGGCGGCCGCCAGGGGCGGGGTACGGGCAGTTTGGAGACGGGGGGCGCTGTCGGAGGGAGGGAGGGAGTGAGCGGGGGTGGGACGCACAGACGATTCCAACAGGAGACTGGAAGAGATTTTGAAAGGTCATCTCGTCCTTCCCCCAGCCTCCAAGCCGGACTGCCCCTCCCACCCTAAACCCGGACATACCAGGGAAGGAGTTGGCTCTGCCGCTCTTTCTGCCCCAACATGCACAGACTCGGGAAGTTCTTCCTGGGGTTTTATCTCAAAGCCTCTCCCTTACAATTTCTGTCTCTCTTTTTGGGGAGGAGGAGGAGGGGCGATAATAGAGATAGTTAATGTCTGCCGTATAAGAAACATTATTAAAGTTACTCTTCGGTCCTTTCTGTTCTTGATAAACCAATCCTACTCCTTCCTCTCGAATCCTCTTTTCCATTCCCTAAGTCACTTTAATGGCTCTTCAATACAACAAATATTTCCTAATTGCTTACCGAGTACCAGGCACTATGCTTAGCACTGTGGGGGATGAGCAGATGAGGGGCTTGTAGTACCCTCCCATAAGCAGATTGTAATCTAGACAGGGGCTACAAATTTGTAAGTAGTATACTCAGATTTAATCAATATTGACAGAATGCCTGTTCACATATTTAATAGGATAGAATCCTTGCAATAACATTCTGAAATATAATCAGTCTGCATTTACAGGTAAGGAAAATGAAGCTAGAGTCTCTTTCCACTGGCCTACCAGCTCAGGGATCCTCAGAGCAAGCCGAACATTTCACATTCTGCCAGGCCACTGCCACCAAATAAAATTAATGCACACGGGGACTGAGGCAGGAGTAGACACACAACTTCTCCAGATCCCTTTAAATGTGATTCCCACTCCCCAGGAAAGAAGAGTGGACACAGTGCTCCAATGAGTGTTGGCCCAGCACGAAGCAGGACAGAAGGGTCTTACAAAGGACCACTTGCCTCCCAGGACCCTGCCTGTCAGTACTAACTCCCAGAAGTCTTCCGGCTCTGTCTTCTAATACCTTCAGTAATAATAATGATAATAGTCACTAACAATTATTGAGCACTTAAGTGCTAGGTACCCGGCTGAGCTAGTTCATTGCATTTTCTCTTTTAATACTCAAGGCAACCCCTTGAGTACTGGATTGAGATCAGTATTATTAACTTCCCTTTATAGATAAGGAAACAGAGAGATTAAGTAACTTGCCCTAGGTCACCCCGGTAGATCTGGGATTTGAACATAGGTCTGGTTTTCTCCAGATCTCGGGCTCTGCACCTTTCCTATTTTTGATCCAGAGAGTATATATTCGGGCCCAGCTGGTTCTGCTTCTTACTGTAGAAACAGATGTCCCCAGCTTACTTCTGAATAAGCCTGCAGTATATGGGCATCAGGCACATCAGTGTGACCTCACTGCCCCACCAATGGTTATTAAGTGCCCAGCGTGAGTCATATTATTAGCCCTCTTTTTATCACTCAGTTTGAACAAACTGAGGTTCAAATAGGTAGAATAATGTATCCAAGGTCACACAGGTGGGAAAGTGACAGAACTGAGATTCTAGTCCAGGTCAGCCTGACTGCAAGGCAACCTGTACCTCTCAAAAATATCCTCTGGTGCGGTAGTGTCCTTCCCAAGACTGACCATTTGGGGACTATTTTCTATACATATCTCGCTGCAAGTTAACACCATAACTTTAAAAAATCCCCACTATAAATAGGGATCCCCATCTACTTCATGTCCAATCCAGAGTAAATCCTTCAAGAAAGGAAGAAGAGAGGAGAAACTGTCCAGAAAGTGAGAGACAGGAAGCCAGGGGAATTAAACCTTGCCTGGTCTTGAGACAACACTTCAAGTGGTAATGACAGGGGACCAATCCAGACAATAACATGGGATTTCCCTAGGGAACAGCAGGTAATCTGAGGTGGAAGCAAAAAAAAGGAGAAAGATTAGATGGAAATGGGGGGAAACTGGGACCCCAGGGTGGTAGTGTTCATTGGGATGAGGTGAGCAATCAGAAGAGGACCTTGGATGGGCAGAGAGGGCGGCAACGGGAAAGAGGGACAGAGCAAGGCAGGGCTGGGCGGTCTTGTGGAATGAACTGAGGCTGGTATCTGCCCATGGCCACTCCCTGGATCCTTAGGCTCTCATGGGGACCTTTGCCCCACCACACCCGGCCCTGACAGCCCGTCTCTGCCAAAACAAGTTTGTCGTCGTCTGCTCTGAGCTACTGGACCCTGCCAGGAGCTCCAGGCTCGGCTGGGTCCCAACCCTTTGGAGTAGCACCTTCAGACTAGGTAGGTCTGAGGCCCTGAGCCTCAACTCCCCAGATTTTGGAAGTGGGCAAAGGGACAGCTGAAAGAGATGTTTCTGCATGTCCTATCTCCTGATAGGTGCCATAATGCATTTCTCCCAGCCTAGGAAACACTGAACTCCAGTGATCAAGGGAGCCATGGAGGAGAAAGGTGCTCAGTGGGAGCAGGAGAGACCCAGGCTTCGTCTGGAAAAGCTACAGCACTGGGCAAGGCACAGGCAGAGTGGGCACCTCTTGGTGCTGGCAGTGAGGCCAGGCTGCCCCACCCCAAACTTCAGCATGTCCAATTGCACCCCAATTCGATTCTATCCGTGTTTAGGGAGCACCCACCCTGTGCCTGAAACTGTACTAGCCTCTGAGTGGGAGGAGGGTGGAAAAAGCATAGAATAATGAAGCAAGACACTTAATCCCCAATTAGCTTCCATCGTGTGGGGAAAACACATAGGTAAGTAACCAAACTTGGACATGAGGCAGAAAAATGAAATATAATATCCCATTCCTTCACTTGTCCTTGGTTGACTACTTTCCGCCAACGTAACGTGCATTCCTCCCACTTGCTGATCTCTGTATCCCCTTCAACTACCCTGTGTCCGGCCTCCAGGTGAGCCAGCTGTGGCTGGCAGTGGCTATGGTGCCCTTTGCTGTCTCCGTTGCCTGCCTGAACTCTGCTTGTCACATGGCCACAGCACTGCCACTTGGGCCTGGAGCATTGGTAAGACCCACTGCAAGGAAGGGTGGAAGGAAGGTCCTGGAGGCCCCTCCTTAATGGGGCCAGAGCTCAACACTTGCCTTTCTCACCATTCAGGGTCTCCTCACTGGGATTGTCACCCTTGAGCTGCGCAGAGCACCCCGCCTCTGGAAGGTAAGAGGGGAAGAGAATGCAGCACTGTTCTCCCACACCCGCCCCCCACACACACATGCATGCACACACGTCCACGCACGCAAACCACTCAGCCCAGGAAGTGACTAAATGTTAACTAATCCTTCCAGCTCTCTGACCCTGACTGGACTCAAAAACTGAGGAGGTAAAGCAAGAAATTAGAGGGCTCATGGCCCTGTTTGGAGGTGGAGGAATAGGAGCTGAGTTTTGTTTTGGGGCTAGGCTGGCAATGAGTCCCCTAGGCTGGGCAGGGCTGAACTGGCTCACTGGCAGGTGCAGGCCATGATGATACTCAACATCTTCAGTCTGATCTTGGGCTTTATCGTGGTGGTGGTCGAGGTGATGAAGACAGCCTTGGGGCCTGCCCCAGCTGCCCCCTCCCAGGTATGGGTGAATAAAGGAGAAGGTGGGAGGATGAGGAGATGAAGAGGGAAAGGGGCAGGGGCACACAGGTTCCCTGTAGCATCCTCAGCCCTGTCTACCCGCAGCTGGCTGGCTTGCTGGTGGTGGAGCTCAGCACTGAGGCCTTCACCCTAGGGGGAGTGCTGGTCTCCACATACTCGCTATTCCTGCTGAGCCAGAGGAAGCCAGGATGCTGCAGGAGCCAGAGTCTGCACTACCAGGAGCTGGAGGAGGTATTCAGGGCATGGAGGAAAATATGGAGCAGTTAGCCAGCAGCTGATTTTTTTTACTGGCTATTGTGGTCACTGGCACTTAAGAGAAAATAATGGGGCTAGTGGGGGCAGAGGGAGAGAAGGGGTCGTAGCCGGAAACTGATTGGTTTTCTGGTTTTAGACATTTCTTCCGTAGTGTTGAGTAAGAGGGAACTGGGTATCTAAATGGCTGAGACTAAAAATGCAGGAGAGCATTAGGAAGCTGCCTAAATATCGGAAGAACTATAGGAACAAAAAAAAATGGAAGAAAAGGAGGAAGTTGTTTCTGTCTGGGATTCCTCCTTTCTCACCCCTACAGTTTGCTCCCCTCACAACTGTCTGGCTTTTAGAGTCTCTCGGAGTTGGAGGAAGTTGCTGCTTTGGAGAATGGTCCCACAGTGGCTAGCAGAGCAAATGCAATAAATGAGTGAGGGGACAAGCGGAGGCAGACAAGTCCTGCTCCACTAACCCGGCAGGAGCGTTCTCCAGACCGTCCGTCCTGCCCCCACTCCACAGAACTCAGAAGCTAGATGGAGTCCTCCGAGACCTACATGAAGTCCGGAGGAGCGCCTTCAGTTTTCATCCAGACTAGGCCCCTTGCTCTTCCCTTCCCCGCTGGGGAAGCTATACCTGAACCGGAGTCTTCCCTCGCCTCATTGCCCTGGAAAGCTGCCCTCCTGCAGGACATCCTTAAACCAACTTTCAGCTGTACCCCCTTCCTCCCTTCCATCCTTCCCCTCCCTACCCATCGCCTCCCCATACAGCTTCACATCTGCCTCATCTCACTTATTTCTCTTCTTTCCACCTTTCACAAGCCCATCCACTCCAAGCCCGGGGTCCCGTACAAGCCCATTCTCGGCAATCAATTCACGGGTGCTTTATTTTTTTCTCCCTTCGATCCGGTTCCTTTCTACTCTAGCGAAGACTACAAGTCCCGGGATGCCCCGCTGCCCCGTGGCCTGATGGGAAATAAAGAGCCTTCCCTCCGGGATGGGGGCGCTGTGCATCTGCTGAGTGACGCGAGGCGCTGGAAGTCGGGGCCTAGCCGAGAGTTTCCTCGGACGCGACCACTGGCCCCGCGTGCGGGGAGGCGCCAGGCGGGTTATCCTGCGCGGGGGCGCCGCCGCCCCACCCACGGCAACTGAGAGCTGACTGTGGGTCCACGGGCCTCCCTCTGGCAGCTTCGGGGACGGACAGGGGCTGGGGGCTGGCCCTCGGCAGGGCTGGGTTTCCCAAATGCTGTCGGCGCGCCCCCTCCCACAGAGCCCAAATCCAAAGTCCTGAGACTTGGAGCGCGCGCGAGAAAGGGGTTGGAGATGATGAGTCAGAAGCCCGGGGCCCTTCTCGTCCCC